GGTTCGTCGAAGGGTTCTCTAGTCTAGCAGCTCCTCTAACCCGACTCAAAGAAGAATGCAAAGTTTGAATGGAATGAGGACTGCGAAATGAGTTTTGCAGAATTGAAGAAGCGACTGACTAGTGCACCCGTGCTGGCTCTACCGAGTGGATCAGGAGGGTATACAGTTTATAGTGATGCCTCCTATTTGGGTCTTGGTTGTGTTCTGATGCAGCATGGAAATGTTATAGCATATGGGTCCAGACAGCTAAAGAATCATGAGAAGAACTATCCTACCCATGACTTGGAGCTTGCCGCAATCATACACGCCTTGAAAACCTGGCGCCATTATTTGTATGGAGAGACCATTCAGATCTATATCGATCATAAGAGTTTGAAGCACATCTTCACTCAGAATGATCTCAACATGCGTCAGAGAATGTGGATGGAACTCCTCAAGGACTATGATTGTGATATCCTATACCATCCAGATAAGGGCAACGTGGTAGCCGATGCCCTCAGCAGGAAAAGTGCAGGCACCCTAGCCCATTTGATGGTTTCAGAATGCCGGTCAATTGGGGCCACGCAACAGGTTCGACTGCGAGATCTGAATAGGACCACATGTTTGGGCCACCTAGCAGTCCAACTCGAGTTAATCCAAAGAATAAAGGAAGCCCAGTCAGTCGACCCCGCCCTAGTAACCCGCAAGAAGGATGCAGAACATGGAGTGAGTTCAGAATTCCAGCTCTGTGCCGACGGATTGATTTGTTTCAAGGACAGTGTGTGTCCCAGACGACAGTGAGTTAAAAAGAGACATCATGATGGAGTCCCATAGTTCAAAGTTTTTCATGCATCCAGGAAGTACCAAAATCTACCAAACTATGCGACCTCGGTTCTGGTGGAATGGGATGAAGAGAGATATAACTGACTTTGTATCTAAATATTTGGTATGTCAGCAGGTCAAGGCAGAGCATCAGTGCCCAGGTGGGTTACTTCAGCCCTTACCGATCCCGGAATGGAAGTGGGAACATATCACCATGGACTTCGTATCGGGACTACCCAAGGCGCGTTCAGGACACGATGCCATATGAGTGATCGTTGACCGACTTATCAAGTCTTCCCACTTCCTAGCCATCAGGATGACCGATTCATTGGACAATTTGGCAAGGATGTATATCCGAGAGATAGTCAGATTGCATGGGGTTCCAGTAACGGTAGTGTCCGACAAGGATCCCAGGTTCACCTCTCGGTTTTGGAGCAGCTTCCAGCAAGCTATGGGAACAAAGCTGTCTCTTAGTACTGCCTTCCGCCCCCAGACTGATGGACAATCAGAGAGGACAATTCGTACGCTTGAGGATATGCTCCGAGCTTGTGTCATTGACTCCAGGGGCCATTGGAACGACCATCTACCCCTAATAGAGTTTGCCTACAACAACAGCTACCAAGCAAGTATCGGCATGGCTCCATATGAGGCACTATATGGGCGCCCGTGCAGGTCACCGATTTGTTGGGAGGAAGTGGGCGATAGAAGATTGTTCGGCCCAGAGTTGGTAGAGGAGACCACGTCCAAGATAGTTAAAATCAAGAAGAACATTCAGACAGCTCAGAGTAAGCAGAAGAGTTATGCAGATATCCGGATGAGAGACTTAGCGTTTGAGAAAGGCGACCGTATGTTTCTTAAGGTCACTCCTTTCAAGGGAATTAGTAGGTTCAGCAGGAGGGGAAAATTAAACCCCCGATATATTGGACCCTTTGAAATCTTAGACAAGATTGGTACCCCTGCCTACAGACTAGCACTGCCTCCCGAGCTCTCCCGAGTTCACAACGTGTTTCACGTATCTATGCTACGTAAGTACAACCCGGACCCTTTTCATATCTTGGCTCATGAACCGCTTCCACTCCAAGAGGACTTGTCTTATGAAGAAGTACCGGTCGGTATCACGGACCGAGGTACCAGAATACTCCGCAACCGAGAAATATCATTTGTAAAGGTCGTGTGGCAGAACCACACGCCCATGGATGCTAGTTGGGAACTGGAATCAGAATTTAGAGCCCAGTATCCCCATTTGTTCGACCAAGAGTAAGAGGCAAATTTGGGGGACCAAATTTCTTTAAGGGGGGGAGAGTTGTAACGCCCAATAATTTTAGAATTTTATTATTATTATTATTAATTTTCTTTTTTGTTTATTTTATTTATTTAGTTTATTTTAATTTAAGTTAATAAAAATAAAAATAATAATAATTGTAAAATTGGGTAAAAATATTATTTGAATTTAATTGAAATTGATTTTGGAAAAAAGGGGTGAAAATTAGGATTCTGGAGCTATTTTTGAAAAGAAAATCGGAAACCGGGGGTCAAAACGCAATTTAAAAAAATTGTGCCCCGTCAGCGCCACGTCAGCAGCACGTCAGCGGCCCAGTCAGCAGCCCTGGCCAACCAGGACCTCCCGCGTGGCAAGACCACGTTGACCCAGGAACGGGCCACGTGGGCGATCCGCGTGCGCGCGATCGGACAGCCCAGATGCGTCCCCGCGCGCACGGACAGCCCAGATCAAGCGTGCACACGGACGACCCAAATGCAAGCGCACGGACGACCCAGATGCACGCGCACGGACGGCCCAGATTCAATCAAGCACGCACGGCCCAGATTTAATCAAAATGGACGGTTGTGATCAAAAGGCAAAAGGGTACAAATAAAACCCCTACACCTGACCACAAAAACCCTAGCCGCCTGCCCTCGCCGGAGAAGACGAACCAGACGCTGGAGGAGCCGGCCGCCGCCACCCGCCGCCGCACCGGGGAGTTTTCCGACCGCCGATCGAGATAAATTTCATACCCCCGGCTCGTTTTTCAATGCTGAGTTCTCCTGTGGCCAAATCGGAGCCAAAATCCTGGCCAAACAGCCGGAAAACACGACAGAAACCCAGCGACGCCGCCGCGCCCCTCCTCGATTTTTGCCTCCGATGACGCCCTTCCCGGCCTCCGTTTGATACAATTTTTATATTACCGTGATCACCATTCTTTTTTCTACAGGTTTATCGGAGCCAAATCACCAAAACACGAACCTCGCTGGAGAGCCGCCGCACCCGAGAGCACCGCCGCCGGTAAGCTTCAGTTTTTCGTAATTTTTTGGCCCCCCGAGGGTCTTAGGGTTGTTTTATCGCAAGGACCGATGCAAGTGTGGCCGAATTTGGCTGGAAACGACCGAAAACGGCCAACCCGAGGCGAATAGCCACCGCTTGCGACGGCGCTGTCGCCGAAGCACGGCGGAGCCGCCATGCTGGAATTGCGATATTGGCCGAAAGGGGCCCTGGGTCTAATTTGGGATTTTTGGGACACGTGCAGGTACCAGTAGTGCGTTTCAGTTCCCCGGAAAAAATTCAGGAAAAATTAGGGACAGCCTGTAGGCGCACTGTAGAGCCGTATTCGGACCCCGAAACAAGTAAGGACCCTTCACCCTATTTCCTATCACGGTATTAAAGTTCAATAAATGATAAAACGGTATTTCATGAATCAATAGATGTGTGAAATTGTTTAAGGTCGCTAATAGGGCCCGAGTCTGGTGTGCTTGTCGGTCAACTGTTGTTTGGCCTATATTACAGTTTTAAATGCAGTATGAGGTCTGATGTTTTCATTTCATAGTTTCGTGTGCATATATCACTGTTTTATTGATTATAGGTTGAATGACTGAGAACCCGATGTTGTATGTTGTCTTGTTGGCATAAATTACTGGTTTGCTTGTTTGTGTGTGATTTGATGATGCTGACTGAGGAAAAAAGGGAATAAAAGGTTATGTAAATTGATAATTGTATAATGTGATCAGCTTACTAGATATCTAGGAGATGGTGGACGGACCGGGTCCGTAGGGAACCCTACCAGGATTGTGGTCTCTCATACCGGACGGGGTATGGAGACCTTATGTGTTTTGGCGCCCATACCGGACGGAGTATGGGGACGGCCTGTTTCACCCTCATACCGGACGGGGTATTGAGGTTTATAGTTTTGGCGCCCATACCGGACGGGGTATGGGGACGGCCCTGGAATCTGATTACAAGTGTTAAGGGTTCACAGGTAGCGGGACCCCTATGGATCCCCAAGGATACTAGTAGGCTGGTAAATGAGGAAAAATATGTTGTGTAATGATTGAATTGCAAAAGGCGCGATAAGTATTATGTTATACAGCTCATATGATTTCATGATGATGATAATGTTATTGCTTTCATATATTGTTTTATGAATTTCACCGAGATAAGTGGATAGCAAAAGATTTTATTATTGATATAAGAATTTGTTGTAAATTATGCTCCATTGGTCTCTTTGTGTTTTCTACCCACCTTTACCTCCGTGACGGTGAGATAGTGTGATGTCTTTACTGGGCTGGTGTAACTCATTTCTTATTTAATCATTTCAGATCAGGAAGACATCGTTCCCGAGCCCGTTCCGCATGAAGACGGCGAAGGGGACGTCTGAAGACTCCGTAGTTATATTTATAACTTTTACTTTCGAGTTTCTCTTTTAGTTAGTTTGTTCTTTTATACTTTGAGCACGTTTTGGTTTTAGTGTAAGGGATGTTAATCGAAATTTTTATTAC